GGAGGGAAGTGGAGAAGTTCCAGAGGCGTCCACCTCCCAGCCACTTACCTGGACCTGGCCCTCCTCCGCTGCCTCTCCATACCCCTAATGGCTGAGGGAAAGTAGGCAACCGCTATTTCTGTATTTCATGGCTTAGAGGGGGAGGGGATGCCTTTCATAGACTCATAAAACTTGAGCTGGAAAGGCCATTAGAGAACGTTTTTTACGGATTGGGAAACCGAGGCCTAGGGAAGGGAAAGAACCAGCACAAGTTCGTGTAATGAGCTTTTGGTGGCAGAACCAGGATCCAGGTTTCCTGAAGCTCTCTCACCTGAGTATGTTCCGCCGAACTCTCCCCAGTTCCTGGATTCAGGGACGCCCTTAAGGCATATGCCTTGTTGGTTCCATTAAAATGTAACAATTTTACAGGTGTACCTTTCTTTAAGCAAACCTGGATGCCTAGCAATCATAAGATTATAGATTTCCAGCGGGAAAGGACCCAAAAGGTCATCTAGTCCAACTCCCCTCATTTTACACTCCAAACCTACAAATCTTACAAAAGAGGGAGGCATTCTCTTTTTAGAAAGATTCTTCACTTTAAAAAATGGCTCACAATAGGCTTTCTTCCAAATGCTGAATTCCAGTGAAATTTTATTAGATTCAATTTTCAAAAATTCAATTTTCTTCAATATTCCAGAGGTCTGCAGGCAGCTAGGTGACACAGTGGATAGTGTGTTGGACCTGGGGGAATGAAGACCTGAGTCTATGTAAATATAATTCTCTCCACTCAGAGGGAGGTAATACAAATAAGTAGCTAGGTGGTACAGTGCTGGGCTTGGAGTCAGGAAGACCTGAGTTCAAATCCAGCCTCGGACACTTATTAGCTATATAACCATGGGCAAGTTATTCTGCCAGCCTCAGTTTCTTCCTCTCTAAATGAGGATAGCACCCATCTTCCAAGGTTGTTGTGAAGATAAAGTAAGAGCAGTCTACAAAGTGCTATGTAATTGTCATTCTTCTCTGTAAATTGTTTTTGCATGTATACTCATAGTACAACTTAATAGGCTGTGTTTGAGAGTCATTCCATGCCCAAATTCATTATCCTGCAGCCAGTCTGGTGATAAGCCTGCCTAGGAATTGCTAGGCTGGTACTCAGACAGTAAATATAGAGTCTGTTATCAGGCCCAACTTAAAAGACTATCCAACTTAGTGGTCCCTGCCAGAATTTGCACTCGCCTGGCATTGTCTTTGAAGACCCAGGGCCACTTCCACACCGCAGTGAGACATCAGAAAAAGATTTTAGGGGGGCAGTGTGTAAATCCAATTTACAAAACATACCATATATAATATATCAGCATACCACATTCATACTTGACCTTCTTGGAGTACAAGAAATACAAAAGATTTAAGAGCCTGTACTTTGTCTTTTGGAAAAGGATCTCACAAAGTACTACGGTATCTTTGCCAAGAAAACCCCGAATGAGGTCATGAAGAGTCCGACATGACTGTAAACAACCGAACAGCAAAAGCTCTAGTCCAAGTTTTTGAAGTCTGTATGCTTTTATTTTAAACCTGTGGCATAAAGAATAGAACCCCAAATTATTTCCAGCTGGATCACTACTGCTTTCCTTTGCCTGATTTCATTTCAGTGCTGCTAATCTTATACTTCCTTCACACTTTTAGGGTCCTGTTTCTGTCTACAGGACCAAGTGGCAGTCTCAAGCTCACCCTCAGGTTTTCACTGGTCTATTGACCTTGCCTCCAGAAGCATCACTTCTTCGGATGCCTCATCATAGTATGGAGAACCTCACAAGGTCATGGTTCTCACTAGAGGTTACTCTTCTGACCCTGGGGAAGAGGCTGGGCAGGGAAGGAGCTATAGGAACCGTGTGTGTGCATGCAGGTATTTGCTTACACCCAGGCTTATATGTGTCTTTTTCCATATCTTACCTTCTAAAAGCACTGTACTTGGAATCAGAAGAGTAGCATTCATGTCCAAACTTTGCTACCTACCATATCCGTGACTTTGATTGGGGCTTAGTTTTCTTATCTGTAAAATGGGGATGATAATCATTGTTTTTACTTCACAGAGCTGTCAGGACCATGACATGAGAGAAGGGATGGAGAAGAGATTTGGAAATGTGAGCTGTGATAATTTCTATTCTTCAGCCAAGTGTGTGTGTGTGTGGGGGGTGGAGGAAGGTAATATTCAGTCCTATGTTCTAAGTTGCCAATATCTTGGCCTCTCTCATGGGCCTCTGATCCTTAATGAGGATAGATGTGGGTACAATGGTCCATTTTGACTTCTATCCTTGAATTTCCCAATTAGGCAGGCCTGGGTTTTCTTTGTGATTGCAGTCCTTCCTAAATGAGCACATATAGCAATATATGCTCAGGACCTTGAACTGGGGAACTGTTTATCAGTACTAGATGATTCAGTAAGTGAATAATGTAAAAAAAAAAAGAGACCATCTTTAGGATGAGTTAAATAGGTTGTAGAGAACCCAAAAGGTGGGAAAGTCAGAGATGATGTTCATATAGAAGCTGCCACTCCAGGTGTGACCCAAGAAATAACATTGTAAAATAGTAATGGCTTATGATCACAGCCCCTCTTGAAGTGGCTGAAAAATTCATCACCTGGGCAGCCAAGCTGGTGATGAGCCCCTCTGACCTTAAGCGGTCTGGTTGGTTCTTGGACAACTTCCTCAGAAATAGTCATGGGAACCATTTTACAATGTTGTAAAGTCTAGAGCTGAAAGGATTGTTAAAGATTAAAAAGCCCAACCAAGTCCCTAATGTTACAAGCTAGGAAACCGAAACCCATAGAGGTGAGATGAGTCAGTTTTTCCAGCTTAGTAGGAGAATGTAAGCTCCTTAAGGTTAGGTACTGTTTCATTTTTGTCTTCCTGTCTCTAGGCCAGAGCCTGGCATGGGGTAAGTGCTTAATAAATGATTGTTGATTGGCATTACCTTTGAGAATCCACAGTCACCTTCATAGCATGAAGAGGTATCAGAAGAGGTGTCTGGAGGTGAGGTTAGTAGACCAGTGGAAACTTGGGGGTGAGTTTAAGACTGCTGGTTGGTCCTGTAGGCAGAAACTGGGCCCAAAACAGTGAGAAGAAGCTACAAGATTGGCAGTTAAAATGAAAGCAGGCAAATGGAAGCAACAATCCAGGAGGAAATTGGGGTTCTATTCCTTATTCCACCGATTCAAAGTAAATAAATTATGTGATTTTTAACATTTCGACTGGATCAAGGGCTCTTCATTCTTTTTTTATGTCATCGACTCAAATCTGTGGCAATCTAGTGAAGCTTCTGGACCCCTTCTTACAATAATATTTTTAAAGTTCATAAAATAAATATATATAGGATAACAAAGGAAACAAATTATATTGAAGTACAGTTATCAAAATATTAAAAACCAAGTTCATAGGCTTCAGATCCAAGAACTCCTGGCCTAGAAGGATTGCCTCTGTGATTGCAATCTTTCTGCTATCCTATGCTTTAGGGAGTGGCTCACTTCATTATGACATCACGGAGTGGTTACTTTAAAAATGCAGACATTTTTAAAAAGAAAACATTTCAAAGGTTTTAATTAAAAGTCTTACTCTGATTCCTCATTCTGTCATCTTGACCTTTCTGAGGCTATTTGCTAGTAGTATATGGAGTAGTACATGGTAGAATCTACCCAATTAGAAAACTCCAAGAATGGTCTCAGTGATGGATGGTATACATCTTTAGTTCAAGGTCCAAAGTGCACAGGTTCATTACTAACTTGTCATAGGGTGCTGAGTTTTTCAGCTACTGTGAGGTTGTGATCTGTGTTGGTGAAGGGTGTACTAACACTGATGAAATTACAAGTATTTTAAATATCAAAGTACTTAACTGATCTAATTGTTAGCTTAAGAAGTATTTGTTGAATTGATTACAAATTATAAGTCTTAACAGTGGACATCCTCATGCCTGTCTCTCACACCTTCAAGGGAAATCACAGAGAGAGTGATGACACCCATATGAGAGGGAGGAAGGGAGGGAGGGAGGGAGGGAGGTTGAGAGAGAGAGAGAGAGAGAGAGAGAGAGAGAGTGAGTGCCATACCAATTCTGGGGAATGGAAGAGTAATAAGGAGGGCAGAGCCACTTCTTTTAAAACCTAGGTGGGCTATTCTTTCTGGCTCAGTGACCAGTCTTCTCTGATACAACTTTGTTGCAATTCTTTCCCAACTTCCCAACTCTGGAGGGATGGGGGAACCCGAGAGACTACCCAGGATTTGCTGTGGCATCCCAAATTAACAAGTCTTTCATGTGTCCCCCAGGAGTCCAGGCCAGGGTCCAGACCAATCACCACCCACATTCCATGGGAAGGCCACTGGGGTTAGGCTAGTGTTACTTAGTGAATAGAAAGTAGACCTATGATTTCAGTGGTATAGGGAACTCCCAGAAGAGAAAACTCCTTTCCCAATGCAGGTTGGCACCTTTTCTGCAACTTAAAGTCTTAGAGAGTTTCCTAGAGTACTGAGAGGTTGTGACTTGGCCCAGAGTCACACAGTCATTATGGATTAGAGGCTGGATTTGAATCCTGGCTTTGAGGCAAGCTCTCTATCCATGAGGTCATGCTTTTACATATGCAAGGTAATATGTATATTAGTTGAGGCATAGTTGCATTTCTCTAGTTAGAGGCTAATGCTTTGTGCGGATTCCACACCCCCTAGGAACTCTAGCTACCAAGCTACCAGGATTCCAAATTAGGAAGGGGAATATGAAGGAGCCCCATAGGAAATCTGGGGGATCTGGTAGGAAATAATTAATCTCTTTATTTACAAATGATTTACACAGCTAGAAAATCCAGGTTGGAGGAGGTGATAAAGAGGGGGAAAATGGCACTTGGAACCACTCCAGCACAGCTCACTTGTCAGCCCGGACGAAGGATGCAAAGACACTGTCCGGGCGGCTGAGCAGCACTTCGGGCTTATCATATTCCAGTATCGCGCCACGCTTCATCACAATCACGAGGTCGGCATTCAGGATGGTGTGCACTCGGTGCTGGGGAGAGAAAGCCCAGATGGGGCCATGATGCTTTGGCTAACTAGGGGAAGCTCTGAGGGCACATACTAAGGCAAAGAAGGGCTCAGGGTATCCATAGTTGTGAGGGGAACAGGAGTATGAGTAGGCATTCAGCTTTGGAAGAGAAAAGCATGAGTGGGTAGGAGGGATGAGGAAAAAGGGGTAAGATGGGCTTGGGGTGCTTAAGCAGGGAATGAGGAGCAGAGGGAGGACTAGAGAGGCCTTAAGTGGAGCTGAGATGAACCAGCAGAGATAAGTAAGAGTCTGTACTAGGAACGGAAAGATAGAACCCGTAGCTCAAGTCTGTACCCTAACACTCAAGCTTGTGTGCCATCATGGGGCAGGGGTTCCTTTTGTTCCCCAAGGGATGTCTCCTTCCCAAAGATCAGAGAGCCAGGCTTGACAAGATGGGGGAATTCTGTGATGGACCCAGAGTGGCAAAGCAGGGCTGAGTCTTGTAAATTGTTAAACAATGTCTCTTTATTCCTTACTCACAAGTTAGATAATTAACTTCAGCATCAGAATCTAATGCATTGCATGTCTTCCTTGCTTCATGTGGGCACTGGGCTCCTCACTCATGGAATAGGGAAGTCACTGGGCTTTCTGTATTTCTTGGAGTTACCTTTTTTCCATCCTATCCATGTTACCTCCCCCTTAGAATAGCTGGGAGTGACCAAGATGATTACAAACTAATCACTTTCATCTACTCCCTGCTTTTGAGGTAATAGCAACTAGGTGGCACAATGCATTGAGTGCTGAACTTGAAGTGAGGAAGAGCTGAGTTCAAATCCTGTCTCAGACACTTAGCTGTATGATTCTGGATAAATCACTTAACCTTTCAGCTTCAGTTTCCTTTTCTGTAAAATGGGGATAATAATAGCATCTACTTCACAGGGTTGTTGTGAGGTCAAAATGAGATCAACATACCTAAAGTCCTGTGCAAACCTTAAAGTGTTTTACAGATACTAACTGATTTATTATAATTATTATTATTATCATCATCATTATTGTTATTGTTGTTAGATTTAGTCAATGGGACTAGAACTCTTTAGAGCTCAGAGACTTGGGAATGCTTTATCAGGGGTCAACTAAAACCTATTAACAGGCCAGGGACCCAGAAGTCAACCTCTCCCCTACCCTTGTCCCAGACACCCTGGGAAGCCAGAGAAATGAGGAGCCTTGAGAGCATGAAGGAGGAAGAACCATGAGAAATACCAATGAGAATTGGAACACTTGAGTCAAAACACTGTAGGATCCAATCAAAAATCCCCTCCCCACCTCACTGGTAGGAGGAGGGAAATAGTGATTATGTTGGGGAGGCTATGCCTGGTCTTTCCTGCTTATTGGGGAACTTATGGGGAACTCCCAGGTAAAGAAACTCCCTGTACCAATTCAGGTTGGCACCTTCTCAACAAATTGTAGTCTTAGGGAGTTGCCTAGAATTGTAAGAAATTAAATGACTTGCCTAAGGTCACATAGCCAGTGTATGTTAGAGATTGGACTTGAACCCAGGTTTCCTTGGCTTCAAGTCAAGCCTTCTATCCAAACTTGGTTGTTCTTAAGAGGATCAAACTAAATGAAATCTATTGGTGCAGGAAGATTGGGGTTTAGAGGTATGGGAGGAGGAAGAGACTTTCCTGTGTATGACTGTGGTTAGAACAGGGGGATGGTTTATGTAGGTGGCTTCTGTAATGATCCCCACCACACCCCAAGCCTGGTGCTCCCTGGGCTTCCCCTTCCTGAGGCTGTCTGTGTCATGCCCCCTTACCGCTATGGTAACCACGGTGCGGTCAGCAAAGGCTGTCATCACCACCTTCTGTAAGATGTTCTCCTGTGGGAAAAAGGATGAAAGCTGCATTGGGCATTCCCCTGACAGGGCTAAGACTGTGCAGAAAGTGGCCCTGGCCTGGCTTGAAAGCATCTCATGGACACAATCTCCTATCATTACCTCCTTGTTTTTTCTCCCTACTTGCCTTGTGTTCACTACTCTTCCCACTGTGGAATCATTTCTAAAGTCAACGGAGACTGAACTGATTGTGGTTACGTGGAGGGAAGCCAAAAAGGAAGGCATACAGAATCTGACAAATGATGAGAGGAGAGAAGAGGATGGAAGAGGCAAGAAATGGTTGAAAGCTGGATTTCTACAGAAGACCTTGCAGGAAGCATATGAGAAGAGCTATTGATCTTCTAATTGAAACTCATACTTACCTGTGCAATCAATGCTAAGTAATAGGAGAAAAAAAGGCAGGTACACTTAGTGAAAACAAAAACCAAACCAAACCAAAACCCCCAAAACAAATGAGTCTTATTTAGGAGTCCTGCCCCATCCCTGACCCAAGCAGTAAAAGAGCAATTAGCCATGCAAGTATCGGGGGAGAATTGGCAAAGAGAGCCACAGAGAACTGAAAATCAGTTTCAGAAGGTATAAAAAATGAAGGGAATGTTTCCATGAGCTGCAGGGATTGTGCTCTACTTATGCTTCTTAAAGAACCAAATAGCAACAACACATGTACAAATATCACACTGGTCCCCCCGTTAGAGGAGAATGTCAAAAGGCCTGGGGGAAGCCATCCACTCTGTAGCTTATCAGGAAGGATGAAGCATTCCTTGAGAGAATGGAGGAAATGATTCAAGAAGAAAACAAAGAAGGAAAAAACTCTAAGGAGCAATCCAAATATACGGGCTATCCAAAAATGTGTCTTGAGGTTGGAAGATAAAAGAATGTGTCACAGTAAGGACAATGGGGGAAGAAGGACCACTGAACCTTTGGAGACAATCAATAGGCTTGAGGCTTTTTCTGTAGAGGGTAGAACTGGATTCTGAGGAAGAAGCCACTTCTCATGCTCCATGGAATGGTGATGAACCACAGGCATCTCCAGGAGATGGTGAAGGTTAGGACCACAGGAATAAAGGATGAGTGCTAATAAGGCGTATTGAGGCGCTCATGTATCAATTTGACATGAACAATCCAGGAATACACTGATTTTTCTGAGCGTACGTATCTGGGATGTCACAGAAAAATCTTGAGACTTGTCAAATCTGATGATTGCTTTCCGCTTCTACAGATTCATCTGGGGACAAATGAAATGGACAGGAGATGCCTGGAGACTATTTTAGGAATTAGGAAGTCCTAGACAGGAAAGTGAAGATCATAAGGTCATAGGTGGTATTCATCTCATGGCTGTCAATCAAAGGAAGGGGCTTTTAGAGGTGTCAAACATGCAGCCTGAGTCCACAACACTCCTTGAACCCAAACTAGATTAAAATGTAATTGGGAAATATTTAACAAAATAAATAAAAACACAACCAAACACAGATAATATTACATTTTAAAGCTAAGTCAATATACTGCCCATGGGGATCTTTATGTATGGATTGGCTGCCTCCATTTCTCTTTTGGTTTGACATTACTGCTTTAGAAGACTAAAAAGTGAGTATGGGAAGTGAACAGCTGAGAAGATAATTCAGCTGGTAAAGAAGACCGTTTGAGGGAATGGGACTTGAATTCCTGGATTAGAGCCTCAGATACTAGAATGACAGTCCGAGGCTGGAGTGATGAGGGCATGTACTGGAATGGTGGCAGTATCAGAGGAGAGAAGATATTATGAAGGTATAATGGGTAAGATTTGTCAACAGTTTGGAGGGTTAGGGTCTTCAGCTGTGATTTCACTGGTATAAGGGACTCTCCAGAAGGGAAACCATCTCTGTCAATGCAGGTTAGCACCTTCTCTGCAACTTAGAGTGTGGCCTGGAACTTTGAGAGGTTAAGTGACTTGCCCAGGGTCACACAGCTAATAAGTGTCTGAGGCAGAATTCAAACTCAAGATTTAAAGAGGAGCTGTCCAGCACTCTCCTTACTGTGCCACTTAGGCAAAGCAGAAGAAGATGGGCTCTTCAAACAATAGACCAATGACTTTGATTCTGGAAAAATTTTAAAGCCAGGAAAGGAAGTAATAATCATCATGTGTCAACCTGGGTTCATCATTTAAACTATTTTCTGAGCTGCCCTGAATTGCCAGTCTAGTAGCCCTATCCAAAAAAAGGCAAAGGAGGCTGATCTGGCAAAGTCTGCTCTCAATCATGCCATGCTGGTTCTTGGCGATTTCACTGGTTTTGGCACTTCTTCTGTTGATATGGAGCCCAGCCTGTCCATGCTTCCTCATTCTTTGTATTCTTGCTCATTGTCTTCCACAGATATTCCATAGTGAATCCACACATCCTTGTTGGAGGCCTTCCTTTTTTGTCCTTTTACATTATATGGGTACTAGTAGAGCATCTTGTTGCCCATATTTTATTCTTTGTTCTTTCTACATGATGAACTCACCTTTTCCAATAATTTACCTTCTCAATTGTATCCCTCCTTGTGCATGAAGTATTATTGGAAAAATGTTGCAGCCTATGTGTGCCCACTTGTATTTTTCCATGGCCACTTAAATGACCTTCAATTTTGAGTGCTCTGGGTTTTCCAAGATATACAAAGATTTGGCATCATATGGAGGAAAACTGAATAAAAATGACGAAGTTTTGTGTCAAGGGATGGCTTGAGAATCCTTAAAAGCATTGAACATGTTCTCAAAAGCATTTTAGTCTTATTCAATTTTGGGTTTAGTTAATTGTGCATTGTACTGATAGACTGGTCATTTAACTGTATGTCATAGACTGGACAACAGACATTTTTCATCCATTTAGTTTTCCTTATATTGATTGCTAAGGAAATCTTTTTTGAATATTCATAGATCTTATCAAGGGTTCCTGTAGTGCTCTAGGACTTGATTCAATCAGTATAAAACCATCTTCAAACAAGATATGATTTCTAATATTTAAAGGGCTGTCATATGAAGGAGGGATTAGATTTATTTTATTTGGTCCTAGAGGTAAGAACGGGGAAAAATGGGGAGAAGTTGCAAAGAGGCAAATCTAGACTCAATGTGAGAAAAAAACCCTCCATAACAATTAGAGCTGTCCAAAAATTGGGTGACCTTCCTTGAGAGGTGGTGAATTTCCCCTGTTTGGGGTAGGGTCTGGGCAACTATTTGTTGGATATGTTCTAGTGGGGATTTCTATGATGTATGGGTTGAATTAGATGGTTTCTGGGCTCCCTTTCTACTCCCAAATTCTGTGAAGAGCCTTTGGAAAACTTTTATCTTCTATGAAGAATTCCTCCTGTTTTATGCCTGAGTGGATGCTAATAATTAGAGAATCCTTTAATAATGTTATCTCTGTGGTTTCATTTATCAAAGAATCTTGTGTATTTGGAGTTTGATCAGAGGACTCCTAATCAAGTGAATCCTCCCAATCTACTGGATGAAATTACAAGATTAAGAGGAAGGTAACAGAGAAATGAAATCTAAGGGTGCACCCCTTTCAGATTTGCAGTGATGGAATTTGCCCCTTGTAAGGAGTGTGGCCCCTTTCAGATTTTTAGTGGCTCATTTACCCATGAAAGACTCAGGAACTGAAGCTAAGGAGCAACCATGCACCTGTGGTTTTTAAAAAGTAAACTAGACACCTCTGGCATTAGATAAGCCAGTTATAGGAGAAGAACTCACTCTGCACTTTCTCTTTTGTGCTTCATCTAGAGTGCAGCACAGAGGGGGAAGGGATTTCTCTCTGCTCTCTCTACTTGATCCCCAATCACCGGTAACGGAATCTGGCAACAGAAGCATAGGACCGTAGGAGACTGCGGTCAGTAGAGGGCAAGGCCATGGCCCGGCTGTGGAGTTGAGTCAAAGAGGAGTTCTTGAGGTCAATAGCTAGAGGTCGGATCCTAATCAGGAGAAAGCAGGTTCCAGTGCCGACACTGCTGCAGGTCTTAGGGTGTGGATTCTGTTTTTTTTCTAAATATACACTGTAGTGCTCAAGGCTAGGATGTCAGCCGAGACTGAAACTAGAAACAGTAGAGACCCTGGCCTAGCCTTGGAGCCTTTCCCTTAGTCCCAGAGATGGCTTGTGGGGCTTAGTAGAGTGACTTAGTGAGATACTGTTTCCTGAAAGGAGCAGTATGATGACATCGCTAGAAGATCTGGGGGTCCTGAAAGACCAGGATTGTAAGTTACATTGGACACATTATATTTCCTACACATGTGCCTCTCTGCATGTGAACTCTACATGTACATAATCTTTCCACTGACAACATGTGTATTTGTAGGGTACACGTTGTGATACACCCCAATACCTCAGGGTTACTCTCTAGAACTCTGAGAGGAGATTCGCTGGTGCAGCTCTGGGAGAGAGGGCCACAGCATACACATTACAGTTTCATTGTTATTGTTCTTAGTATTCAATTTAGAAAATGCTTTGGCTTTGAACTAACAGATACTATCTAAGGGAGTGAGCCCTCTAAATCTGAAAGGCTCATATCCTTACATATCATAATCTCTATTACCTGCCCTTTATGTCCTGTAATTTCACAAGAAGCTGATTTTTGTAGAGTCAATTGATCAGGGATTCTCTGGACAACCCTCTGCTATATTTGTATGATCTTAACAGATGCATGTTTCTCCTTCTGTTGGAGGAGAGCCTTTAAGAGCTTTTTGTTCTACCAAGTCAAACACTTAATAACAAACAAACAACAAACAGAGAAGGTTCTTGCATCCTCTGCATCTTACAGTCGCTTGTGGGACACTTAAGATACACTCTTTTCTCAATAATTTTTTACAAAAGCTTAACTATTATACTTTTATCAAGGATGCCTTCAATATGAATGTAGTTATTTTCATAAAAGATTCCCTAAAGATGAGAAAGTAGGTATAATGGTGGGTAGTAACTGATGTTTTAATTCTTTTTTTTTTCCTTTTTTTGTTTGCTGAGGCAACTGGGGTTAAGTGACTTGCCCAGGGTCACACAGCTAGTTAGTGTCAAGTGTCTGAAGTCACATTTGAACTCAGGTCCTTCTGATTCCAAGGCCAGGGCTCTATCCACTGTGCCACCTAGCTGCCTCCATTCTTCTTTTTTTGAATGTTAGTATAGTCTGTGATTTTTTTTTTACTTTTCTTTTGATATCTTCCCTTCCCTGAGATAGTTTATAAAATAACCTCTCAATGTTTTCTGTTGTATTTTTTTAAGCAAGGACTTTTGAGGAGACATACTTGTTCCGGTCCAGCTGCTTAAGTGTCATTTTTACTTTGTCATGCAGCATGTCAGGGACTGAAATATCAGGTTGCAGATATAGTGGTTCCACTATCATTGATAGCAAGAATGAATTGTTAAGGAAATGGTGATAAATTTGTTTCATTTTCTGTCTTTATTATCCTTTTGCCAGTTTCATTTATGTAGGCTCATGATACTGTGGCTCAGGCAGTTTGAATTCTCTGGAGTCTGGGGTCAGAGTGACCTTGGGCAAGTCACTTAACCTTCTGGGCATTAGTTTCATTGCCTATTAAATGAAGTGGTTGAAATAGACAATCTAGCTTCTGAGGACCCTTCCAATTCTGGATCTCTGAGACTATAATCCTATGAGTCTAATACCAAGTTTTCTGTGGATATATTTTTACTTTGATTTCTTTTAATTTTTTACGAAGTGACAATGCTTGCATTCTTCCACCATCTTCCTGTGGGTTGTCTTATAAATGAGCCTGTATTCTAAACCAGTGTTTCCTTTGGCTTCCACTTCTCCTCTCGTCAAGAAGATCAATATTTATAGGCTTTGTTGGTCTCTTAATAGTAACAACAGTTAAACTTCTGTAGGAAATGGTGATAATCTCTGCCTTCTCCCATTTCCCATTCCTGCCCCACCCCCAGCATTGATGACTTGTGTAAATAGTTCAGGTAGAAACTATTGCAATTGTTTGCAATGTCTTTGGCCTTTTGCTAATCCAACATTGATTCTGACCTTTGATCTAACTAGTCGATGACCTGACTGCAAAGGAGAGTTGATTCTGATATGACTCCCACATTAAGCAACCAGTTGTTTCCTGTCTATTAAAATATAGTCAATTCCTTCCCTCCTTTTTCCTCTCTCCCTCTCTCCCTCCTTCTCCTTCTCTTCTTCTTCTTTTTCTTCTTCTTTCTTCCTCCTCCTCCTTCTCTTCTTCTTCTTTTTCTTCTTCTTTCTTCCTCCTCCTTCTCTTCTTCTTTTTCTTCTTCTTTCTTCCTCCTCCTCCTTCTCTTCTTCTTCTTTTTCTTCTTCTTTCTTCCTCCTCCTCCTTCTCTTCTTCTTTTTCTTCTTTCTTCCTCCTCCTTCTCTTCTTTTTCTTCTTCTTTCTTCCTCCTCCTCCTCCTTCTTGTTCTTCTTCTTCTCCTCCTCCTCCTCCTCCTTCTCTCTCTTGATTTTGTTCACTTCTTGTTAGATTTTCTTTTGGAATAAAATATTCACAAAGCAAAACCCAGAGAACAATATATACAGACTACTATAGTATAAAAAGTGGCATTAGAAGGCAGCTGAATTCAGATTAATTGCAATAAACAGTCTTGGTTCTGAAGAACAGAGGATGAAACACCCAGCTCTCCTGCCAGTTAAGAGGAAATGGGGTATTCTACATGTTGTCAAGTGTGGTTGCCTTGTTATTCTTAACTCTTTTGCTTTGTTAAAAAGGAGAATTCAATGGTGGGGGAGAGAGGCGGTGAGTGGGGAGTATCAGGAAATGCTTGTGATGTAAAAAAAAGCATCAATAAATTGAAAAAACTGAAAAGAGAAACATTCATAACATACATGTGTAAGGCTTCTGGATAGTCAGCATGTCTTTGGCCTCTTTCATTTCTCACACCTGAGTCAAATTGTCCAAACACACTTTTGCCACCCTCTTTTATGTCCATCTTCATATTTAGGTATCAAAGTATTCCTTGACTTGTTTGGAGGCTCTTGTCAAGTTCTTCGTAGACTTTCTCTACCTTTTCATCTCCTGCAATTAATGTTGGTGCATAGACTACAGTTTCATGCTAGTCTTTTTGCTCATGCTTAACAGCAGTACTGCAAGAGCTGTTATTATAGGGAAGATGAATGAGCTTCCCATGAAATTATATTTCTTGATGACTTTGGGCACATGTCGAAACCAAATCTAACTCATTTGTTAGTTCTGCAAGAAGAACCTGTGAACCAGCCTTCTATTCACTTGCAACCGTCCTTTAGTTTTTGGTATTATGAGAATATTGATAATGAGGTGAGTTGGAATTTTTCCAAGAGTAACGCCAATTTGCTGGTCACTGGGCAAAGATCTCTCATTTATAGTACCTACAGTTAAATTTTACAGATGGCATAAAAAACCGCAAGTCTTACTACTTGATACCTTCCCCTATTTTACAATCATCACTCTGGAAGTAGAAGAGGGTTACTTAGCACTGAAGGCTGCTAGTTTTCTTTGTTTCATCAACAATCATTCAATAACCAACAGATATTTATCAAAGGCCTACTGTGTGCCAGGCAGGGCTAATAACAGCATGGAGCGTGCCTGCATCCCCGTATACATCTGTGCGTGAACTTGGAACACCATAGCTCATTTTCTCTTCTCCATCTCATTTCCACAACACATCTATTTTGTTTTTAAGCACCCATACTATAGGTTTGAGTGCTATTTTGTATAATAACTTTCCCTCCCTCCCCTCCTCTCAACTCCCCAATCATCACCATCTAGGACTGATCTTAGACCCCGAAGACTGACCGTGGCCATGTCGATGGAGGCTGTGGCCTCATCCATGATGAAGATGCTCGTCTTCCTCACAAAGGCCCTTGCCAAGCAGAAGAGCTGCCTCTGGCCCTGGCTGAAATTCTCCCCACCTTCCGTGACTATGGCATCTGCAAAAGAGCAATGATTCTGTGTGTGTGTGTGTGTGTGTGTGTGTGTGTGTGTGTGTGACAGACTTTACCTCCGTTTCTTAGAATTGCCATCTTCTTTTTCTTCAAGGCTCAAGTTAAGTGCCACTCCCCTATGAGAGGCCTTTTTTGACCCACCCCCCCAATTATTCGTGCCCTCCTTCCACACAAGTACTATATCTATTTTATATGTGACTTGTATATACTTATAGATGCATGTGTTGTTTCCTCTGATAGAATGTAAGCTCCTTGAGGGCAAGGATTGTTTCATTTCTGTCTTTGCGTCTTCAGTGCCTGGTATACAGCAGGTGCTTAATAAATGCTGCTGAATGAATGAATATGTACGTTTTTCATGGGTTGATCGTTGGTCACTAGGTGGTTTCCTATCACTGAGAACTGGTGTGACATTGCTTTTGTGGGTCCTTGGTTGTGTTGGGATGTGGGAAAGAAAGGAGATAGTTGCTCCTAAAGCACACCTTAGTCCAGCCCTTCCTTTAACTTGGCTGTAATAACTCTGGATTAATTGATTGGATGTTTGAGGGCCCAGATGTTCTGTGGGCAAAGCTGGTATTAATGTCTGGCTTAAGGTATGTACTTTCCATCTCTTGGCCTTGCCTGTAATATGGTGACATTACTCAGCCCACTGCCCTCTCCCCATTCCCAGGGTTCCAGGGATGGATAGATGAATGGTATGAGATGGGGTAGGAGAAACAATGGGTCCAGGAGTGTTGTGGCATCAATATGAACAGTTCATTCATTACTATCAGGAAGCCCAGGTCTTTTTGATGTGCCTGGTGCTCCTAGGCTTTGAAGCAGAGTTCTAGTTGTTATTATAGGGAAGATCTGGGCTATGTATGTGTGAGGCATTTGTGGGGGAGCAGATGGATCTGTATCCAAGCTTTCGTGTAGACTGACTCAGCATAGTCCCTGTAGAACTAGAACTCCTCCCCATTTTGTCAGGAAGTAGGGGCGGGCAGTTACCTAGCCCCCCAGGCAGTGCCTTCACCACCAGCTTTAGCTGGGCGATCTCCAGGGCTTCCCACAGGGTACTGTCTGAGCACTTCTTTTCCGGGTCCAGGTTAAATCTGCAGAGCAGCACAGAGACTCAAATGAATGGCCGGTAAGTAGTCTGGCCCAGCCTCACCCAACCCAAGGCACTGCAAAGAGTGGGACCAGGGCTGGGGCTAGGAATAATGAATGATCTTGCTCCAAGATCAGGAATCCTCTTCCAGCTAATATCAGTGGGGAGGGGCTTCTGGGCCTTGGTCAGACCCCATCTGGAGCGCTCAGTTCTGGTACACATTCTGAGGAGAGTGACCAGGATAATTCATAGGCTCACAGATTCAGAGCTGGAAGTGATCCTCCAGGCCCCCTCTCCCAAGAGAAGACCCTCTTTTACCTTCTTGACCCATAACTCATGTCTCTAGTCAATCCTTTCATTTACAGATGAAGTGACTGAAGCCCAGAAAATTGAAGGAACTTGCCCCATGTTACAATAGCACTAGGATTTGATCTCAGAACCTCTGGATCCTCACTCTAAATCCCTTGATCTTTTCATGGCACCATGAAGATTGGAGACTGTGACATCAGGACTGGTTAAAGGACCTGGATATGGTCAGCTTGGAGCAGCCACAATTTAGGTGGAAAACATGGTAGCTGTCTTCTAGCATTTGAAGAGAGGCATCATAGAAAATAGAAATTAAGTTTGCTTCGCTGAACCCCAGAACAGAGATTAAACTTAATCTGCTAAGCTCCACAGGGCAGAACTAAGACCCCATGATAGAAGTCCCAGAGATGCTGTATTTCAGTCTGATAGAACAAAAAAAAAACTTGCTCATAATCAGAATTGACCTAAAGTGTAATGGGAGGCCTCTGGAGGAATGGTTTCCTTATCACTGGAGTCTTCAAGCAGACCCCGCAATGAGGATGTTGTCAGGGGGATTCCTGCTTGGGTAGATGACCATGGAGGTCCCTGCCACCTTGGCTGTTCTTTGAATGTTTGCTGCTGATCCCTCAGTCTCTCCTTTCCCTTCTACTTGGCTCAGAACAACACTGTTCTGGTCTTAGAACTGGCTAAGTCGAAGTCTTAAGCAGTGGCCTCTGACGTGGAGGGGTGAAGACTCTCTTCCTAAGAGTCTTTTAGGCCTTGGGGCTTCAAGCAACTGCCAGTTTTCCATTCACCCTTTTGCAAAGCTGATAGTTTAGAAATTTGGGGTTTACACTAAAGGTCAACATGTTGCCTGCATATGACAGATGGTGTGCATATCTCATCTTTCCAATGATATTGTGTATTCCTTAAATACAGGAACTATTTCTTAATTCATCTTTGCACCTCTGACCCTCCACAGCATCTCCCAACATGGTAGGTCCTTAGAAGACTTTTGCTGAATGAGCAAATGAATGAATGACTATCAGCACAGTGTTAGGCATTGTGTGTGTGTGTGTGTGTGTGTGTGTGTGTGTGTGTGTGTGTGTGTAGGGGGAAGGAGTGCAAAAACCTGAAAGTTGTGGCTATAGATGTATATTTTGGAACCTTCAATAAGTGCAGTAAAAACTTAATAAATGATACAGATAACAAAGGCACAGAATTTCAGGGCTGGAAGGGGCAACAGAAGCCATCTAGTCCAGCCTCTTAGCTGACCTGGAAGAAGAGTCCTGATGTCTGATGGGACATGAGCCCCAGGGGTTGGGAGTTTAGACCTGAGGACTAGAGAGATAGTTGTTGTAGGGAGTGGGGGGAGTAGGCAGTCACTGATTTCCATTAGAAAAACAGAATAGTCCTAGGGAGTGGAACAAAGCATGATGCCAAACCTCCCATCAACCAAAGACTTAATTTTAGCCAGCAGAGCCAATTTACTCTAGTACCAACAAGGCAGCACTGGATTTGAAGTCATGAAGACCTAAGTTTGAATCCTGCCTCAGATACTAGCTGTGTGAACTTGGGCAGATCGATCAATGCATTTTCGGAGCAACCTGGGAAGACTTGCATGAACTGATGCAGGAAGATGTGAGAAGAACCAGCAGAGCAGTTTATACAATAGCAAAAGTGTTAGAAAGACAAATGACTTTGAAAAACTGAAGAACTCTGATCAATGACCAACCCTGATTCCAGAGAATGGTGATGAAACATGCCAGCCACCTCCTGACAGACAGGTGATGGACTCAGGATGCAGGATGAGTCAGATTTTTGGACATAATCATTGTGGGAATTTATTTGGCTTCACTGTGAATATTTGTTACAATGGCTTTCTTTTTCTTTTCTTTTTCAATTGGGGGAGTAAAAGTCAAAGTTAAAATGTAGTTAAAATCTACAAAGTTGTAGTTAAAATCTTAAAAATGATCTCATTTTTCTTTTTCTCCTTCTTCCTGTATCTGGCTCTTCTTTTTGCTGTCCCATTCTTACTTCCTCTTTCCTTGTTCCCACTCTCCTGGCCACTGAGGCTGTAGAGGGCATTACAGATTGCCTGCATCATACTTTGGGTTGGGAAAGAGTGCTGTAGCCCAATGACCTCATGTTACAGATGAGGTAACTAAACTCTAGAGAAGGGAAGGAACATTTCCAAGGTTGTAACCTTGCAGCTTGACCCTAGAATTAGAAATCTCTTGGGTCCATTTTGGAACACTGCGCACACCATAAGGTTCCTGGGCCGGGGGGAGCTCTTCCCCCTGTGGTAGCATCTCTGGTCTTTCCTGGGCCTCCCCTGGGGTGCTACTCACCGAATGGTGCCACTGAAGAGGATGGGGTCCTGGAGGATGATGGAGAGTCGGGATCGCAAGGTTTGCAGAGGCAGCTTTGAAATGTCGATACCATCGATGACGATCCTCCCTGTATTAACCAGGGGTCAACTCACCCAGGGAGACTGTGCCTAGTACTGGGGGGGTCAACTTTCCTGGGTAGAAGGGACTTAGGTGGGAAGCAGGGGCAGGCCATGTGATCGACCCTCTGTATTGAGGCTATGAGTGTCATAGAAACATTCAAACCCAACATACAACCTGGAGCATCCATTACCTAGTTAGACAGACAGACAAACAGACACAGCTACTCACTGTGAAAAAGTGATTCTAGGGACAGGGGTACAGCAGTGAGAATTTTCCCTTTCTATAAGGAGTGAACTCTGTGTGATGAAGGGCAGTCAGGGAGTGTTGTGTTGGGGGTGTTGGGGAAGGAAGACCCACCTTCAAACATGTCAACCATGCGGAAGAAGGCAAGAGAGAAGGATGACTTTCCACTGCCTGTTCGGCCACAGATCCCAATCTGCAATAGGAAGGACCCAAGGAGTAGCGTTGGGAGAAGCTGAGGACCAAGTCCTCCCAGGGGAAGGTAGGCAATTTTACCTTCTATCTCTGATGAGGCTCTCTGAAGAGCCTAGCCAAGGATGGACTGGAGGCTTATAGCTTGTTTTCTAAAGAAGGTGAGGAAGAAATCTCCAGGGTGGGCTGTGAATCTGTTTGTTTGTGTGCCTATATTTGTGTATATCTATGAATGATTTTGTGTGAGCCTCTCTTTATCTGTATATGTCTTTATGTCTCTATATATATGTATGTGCAAACATTTGCATGTATTTATGTATATACACAGTGCATTTCTCTGTATAAATATGAATATATGTCCATGTAAACACATTTGTATGTATTCATGTGTACATACACATAGAAGGACAATATGGAATAATAGCTAACTGGCCTTGGAGTCAGGAAGACCTGGGTTTATGTCCCATCTCTGACACTTACTGGCTTTGTGAGTCACTTAACTTTTCTGTGCCCTCGGCAACTTTAACACCATAAGCTGCTGTTTTGCATCAGTGGAGGGAGTTTCCTCAATAGGAATTAATTTCATTAATGAAATCATAGGTCTGGACCTCCCCCCCCCAAAAAAGGTGTTTTTGCATCTGTATGTGTATGTGTACATATGTATGTACTTGTGAATATCTGTGTGTGCCTAGGTTTTCAAATAAGCTGGTCTGTGAACATATCAGGCCTCCCTGTCCTGGGTTATGTGTTTATGGGAGCATGTCTGGTATGGGACAAAAGGAGCTACTTTACTCTCACTTTTATCGTGGATAGAGTTTAAAGAGAAACAGAGTGATGGGGGAGAAGACAGAGAAAGAGACAAGGAGAGAGAGAGAGAAAGAGAGAGACAGAGACAGAGAGAGAGATAGAGACAGAGATACGGAGAGAGAGAGACAGAGACAGAGAGAGAAAACAGAGACAGAGACGAGGAGAGAGAGACAAGAAGAGAGAGAGACGGGGAGAGAGAGAGAGAGAGAGAGAGAGAGAGAGAGAGAGAGAGAGAGAGAGAGAAGAGAGAGAGATGTCACAGTGAGATAGATAGGAACAGAGAGAGACCCTAGGCTCAAGTCTCCTCATCTCGGGGAGAGGCCATCCTAGGAAATATCTCATTCCTTTTTATCTTGCTACAGGGGACACTCATGTCAGATGTCTCAAGCCTCAATAAAAGGAAAGGGAGCAGGGGGTTGCCATCCCCATCCCCTCTGAGACTACAACAAGGTCTGGCACTATTGCCAATGAGGATGTACATTGGACTAAAGCCCTAAAGCAGTCTGGGGAGGGAGGCTGTGGGATTGCAGACCAAGAGAGCTGAACATTAAAGCTGGTGTAGGACTGAACCTTGATTTGAGGTCATGTGATGCTGGAACTCACCCCTTCTCCTCCTCTTTCCCCCCTGCTTCCCTCCCTGTCCCTCCTACCCATCCCCCTCAGCACTGACCTTCTGCCCTGGGGAGATGTGGGCATTGACATGATTCAGGACTGGCTTCAGGGAGCTATCATAGCGGACACTCAGGTTTTGTATCTGGATCTTCCCTTGGACTGGCCAGTTCTTTGGTATCAGGGATGGAGCTAAGAAGGTGGTGGGAGGCAGGAATAAGGGTGAGGACCACAAGAAGTGGTCTAACTGAAAGCCTAACTCAGGTTTTTGTGTTCTTCTCAGACCACCAGGTACCCTGGACCCATTAAGGATTGACCTTGGGCTCTGTCTCTTCAAGCTCTCGGAGCTTTATCTGCTATTCTCACTCCACTCGGCAGTCCTTCCCTTTCTCTGCTAATGCTGGGCCCCTGATCCAGGAGCCCCTGACTCTATCGCTCCTGTGTGCCCGCACCAAGAAGGACTCCATTCTTACCCATGTCTTCCCTCACCATAAGGCTCTCTTCTTTCCCCTGAACTTTCTCACCCAGAAGTCCCTCACTCTCCCTCTGAGTGAAGTCCCCCCAAAACCCTTCACATTCCTTCTGAGTGACCTCTCCTGAAAGTCCCTCATTCTTCCTGTAAGTCACCTCTCCTGAAAGTCCTTCTCTCTTTCTGAGTCACCTCCCACAGAAGTCCCACACTCTCCCTCTGAGTCTCTCCCTCTTCCTCTGAGTTACCTCCTGAGAAAACCCTCACTCTCATGTAAGTTACCTCCCCTAAAAGTCCCTCACACTCTCTCTGACTCACCTCCCCTAAAACACCCTCGCTCTTCTTGTAAGTCACCTCCCCTAAAAGTCCCTCACTCTTCCTATAAGTTACCTCTCCTAAAAGTCCCTTACTCTTCCTCTGAGTCACCTCCACAGAAGGCCCACATTCTCCCTCTGAGTCTTTCCCTCTGCCTCTGAGTCACCTCCACTAAAAGTCCTTCATTGTCCTTCTGACTCACCTCCCATTGAAAGTCTCTCACTCTCCCTCTGAGTCGCCTCCCCTAAAAGTCCCTCACTCTTCCTCTGTCACCTCCTACAGAAGTCCCTCACTTTCCTTCTGAATCATGTGCCTTGAAAGTCCCTCACTCTCCCTCTGAGTCACCTCCCTGAGAAAACCCTCACTCTTCCTCTGAGTCACTTCCCACAGAAGTTCCACACTCTCCCTCTGAGACACCTCCCCTAAAAGTCCCTCACTGTCCCTCTGAGTCCTTTCCCTTACAAGTCCCTCACTCTTCCTCTGAGTCACCTCCCCTAAAAGTCCCTCACTTTCCCACTGAATCACCTCCCTGAGAAAACCCTGACACTCCCTGGAAGTCACCTCCCCTAAAAGTCCCTCACTGTCCCTCTGAGTCAACTCCCACAGAAGTCCTTCACTCTCCCTCTCAGTCATCTCCCACACAATTCCCACACTCTCTCTCTGAGTCTCTTCCTCTGCCTCTGAGTCATTTCCCCTAAAAGTCCCTCACTGTTCCTGTCAGTTACCTCCCCTAAAAGTCCTTCACTCTCCCTGTAAGTCACCTCTCCTACAAGTCCCTCACTCTTTCTCTGAGCCACATCCCCTGAATGTCCCTCACTCTCCTTCCGAGTCTCTCCCTCTTCCTCTGACTCACTTCTTCCGACTCACTTCCTCCAGAAAGCCCTCACTCTTCCTGTAAGTCACCTCCCCTCAAAGTCCCTCACTCTTCCTCTGTCACCTCCTACAGAAGTCCCTCACTTTCCTTCTGAATCATGTGCCTTGAAAGTCCCTCACTCTCCCTCTGAGTCACCTCCCTGAGAAAACCCTCACTCTTCCTCTGAGTCACTTCCCACAGAAGTCCCACACTCTCCCTCTGAGACACCTCCCCTAAAAGTCCCTCACTCTGCCTCTGTCACCTCCCCTAAAAGTCCCTCGCTGTCCCTCTGAGTCACCTCCCCTAAAAGTCCCTCACTTTCCCACTGACTCTCTCTCTCTCTCCCTCTGAGTCCTTTCCCTTACAAGTCCCTCACTCTTCCTCTGAGTCACCTCCCCTAAAAGTCCCTCACTTTCCCACTGAATCACCTCCCTGAGAAAACCCTGACACTCCCTGGAAGTCACCTCCCCTAAAAGTCCCTCACTGTCCCTCTGAGTCAACTCCCACAGAAGTCCTTCACTCTCCCTCTCAGTCATCTCCCACACAATTCCCACACTCTCTCTCTGAGTCTCTTCCTCTGCCTCTGAGTCACTTCCCCTAAAAGTCCCTCACTGTCCCTCTGAATCACCTCCCCCGAAAGTCCCTCACTCTTCCTCTGAGTCACCTCCTTGAGAAAACCCTCACTCTTCCTCTGACTCACTTCCCACAGAAGTCCCACACTCTCCCTCTGAGTCACTTCCCCTAAAAGTCCCTCACTGTCCCTCTGAATCACCTCCCCTGACAGTCCCTCACTCTCCCTCTGAGTCACCTCCCTGAGAAAACCCTCACTCTTCCTCTGAGTCACTTCCCACAGAAGTCCCACACTCTCCCTCTGAGACACCTCCCCTAAAAGTCCCTCGCTCTGCCTCTGTCACCTCCCCTAAAAGTCCCTCACTTTCCCACTGAATCACCTCCCTGAGAAAACCCTGACACTCCCTGGAAGTCACCTCCCCAGAAGTCCCTCACTGTCCCTCTGAGTCAACTCCCACAGAAGTCCTTCACTCTCCCTCTCAGTCATCTCCCACACAATTCCCACACTCTCTCTCTGAGTCTCTTCCTCTGCCTCTGAGTCATTTCCCCTAAAAGTCCCTCACTGTTCCTGTCAGTTACCTCCCCTAAAAGTCCCTCACTCTCCCTGTAAGTCACCTCTCCTACAAGTCCCTCACTCTTTCTCTGAGCCATGTCCCCTGAATGTCCCTCACTCTCCTTCTGAGTCTCTCCCTCTTCCTCTGACTCACTTCCTCCGACTCATTTCCTCCAGAAAGCCCTCACTCTTCCTGTAAGTCACCTCCCCTCAAAGTCCCTCACTCTTCCTCTGTCACCTCCTACAGAAGTCCCTCACTTTCCTTCTGAATCATGTGCCTTGAAAGTCCCTCACTCTCCCTCTGAGTCACCTCCCTGAGAAAACCCTCACTCTTCCTCTGAGTCACTTCCCACAGAAGTCCCACACTCTCCCTCTGAGACACCTCCCCTAAAAGTCCCTCACTCTGCCTCTGTCACCTCCCCTAAAAGTCCCTCACTGTCCCTCTGAGTCCTTTCCCTTACAAGTCCCTCACTCTCCCTCTGAGTCACCTCCCCTAAAAGTCCCTCACTCTGCCTCTGTCACCTCCCCTAAAAGTCCCTCACTGTCCCTCTGAGTCCTTTCCTTACAAGTCCCACACTCTCCCTCTGAATCACCTCCCCTGAAAGTCCCTCACTCTACCTCTGAGTCACCTCCCCTAAAAGTCCCTCACTTTCCCACTGACTCTCTCTCTCTCCCTCTGAGTCCTTTCCCTTACAAGTCCCTCACTCTTCCTCTGAATCACCTCCCCTAAAAGTCCCTCACTTTCCCACTGAATCACCTCCCTGAGAAAACCCTCACTCTTCCTCTGAGTCACTTCCCACAGAAGTCCCACACTCTCCCTCTGAGACACCTCCTCTAAAAGTCCCTCATTCTGCCTCTGTCGTCTCCCCTAAAAGTCCCTCACTGTACCTCTGTCACCTCCCCTAAAAGTCCCTCGCTGTCCCTCTGAATCACCTCCCCTGAAAGTCCCTCACTCTACCTCTGAGTCACCTCCCCTAAAAGTTCATTGCCGTCCCTCTGAATCACCTCCCCTGAAAGTCCCTCACTCTCCTCTGAGTCACCTCCCCTAAAAGTCCCTCACTCTGCCTCTGTCACCTCCCCTAAAAGTCCCTCACTGTCCCTCTGAGTCCTTTCCTTACAAGTCCCACACTCTCCCTCTGAATCACCTCCCCTGAAAGTCCCTCACTCTACCTCTGAGTCACCTCCCCTAAAAGTCCCTCACTTTCCCACTGACTCTCTCTCTCTCCCTCTGAGTCCTTTCCCTTACAAGACTCTCACTCTTCCTCTGAGTCACCTCCCCTAAAAGTCCCTCACTTTCCCACTGACTCTCTCTCTCTCCCTCTGAGTCCTTTCCCTTACAAGTCCCTCACTCTTCCTCTAAGTCACCTCCCCTAAAAGTCTCTCACTGTCCCTCTGAGTCTTTTCCCTTACAAGTCCCTCACTCTCCCTCTGAGTCTCCTCCCTGAGAAAACCCTCACTCTTCTCTGAGTCACTTCCCACAGAAGTCCCACACTCTCCCTCTGACACTCCCCTAAAAGCCCTCACTCTGCCTCTGTCACTCCCAAAAGTCCCTCGCTGTCCCTCTGAGTCACCTCCCTAAAAGTCCCTCACTTTCCCACTGACTCTCCTCTCTCCCTCTGAGTCTTTCCCTACAAGTCCCTCACTCTTCCTCTGAGTCACCCCCTAAAAGTCCCTCACTTTCCCACTGAATCACCTCCTGAGAAAACCCTGACACTCCCTGGAAGTCACCTCCCCTAAAAGTCCCTCACTGTCCTCTGAGTCACTCCCACAGAAGTCCTTCACTCTCCCTCCAGTCATCTCCCACAATTCCCACACTCTCTCTCTGAGTCTCTTCCTCTGCCTCTGAGTCACTTCCCCTAAAAGTCCCTCACTGTCCCTCTGAATCAACCTCCCCGAAAGTCCTCACTCTTCCTCTGAGTCCTCCTTGAGAAAACCCTCACTCTTCCTCTGACTCACTTCCCACAGAAGTCCCACACTCTCCCTCTGAGTCACTTCCCCTAAAAGTCCCTCACTGTCCCTCTGAATCACCTCCCCTGACAGTCCTCACTTCCCTCTGAGTCACTCCTGAGAAAACCCTCACTCTTCTCTGAGTCACTTCCCACAGAAGTCCCACACTCTCCCTCTGACACCCCCTAAAAGTCCTCGCTCTGCCTCTGTCACCTCCCCTAAAAGTCCCTCACTTTCCCACTGAATCACCTCCCTGAGAAAACCCTGACACTCCCTGGAAGTCACTCCCCAGAAGTCCCTCACTGTCCCTCTGAGTCAACTCCCAAGAAGTCCTTCACTCTCCTCTCAGTCATCTCCCACACAATTCCCACACTCCTCTCTGAGTCTCTTCCTCTGCCTCTGAGTCATTTCCCCTAAAAGTCCCTCACTTTCCTGTCAGTTACCTCCCCTAAAAGTCCCTCACTCCCTGTAAGTCACTCTCCTAC